GATTATAAGGAAGTCCATGCTTCAAATCTATATGCATTTGCTTGCAAAATGCAGAAAAGGATACAGCGGTATACGCTGGTCTGTTATCTGTTTTCAGTTGTTATAGCATTCCCCATGCAGCCCAAATTTCTAAGCAGTGGGCAATTACTTCCTTGCTTTTTTCCCACTTAAGGGGGTAGCATGTATCACTCCAGAACAGGTATCCACAGATACATGCACATATTTTAATGTCCCAAATTTAGGAATATGAGTAACATCCATTTGCCATAACTTAAGCAGAGTCAATCCTCTAGGATTTACTCCCCAAGCTGGAAGATTTAGGAAAGTAACACAATCCTTACAAGCCTTAACTATATCATGAGCAGCAGCATGGGATATACCCAAGCGTGAATGAAATTGTTGAGCTCTATCCAATGGAAGGGAGGCAAATGCAAACTGCATTCTGGTACATTTATCCATTAAATCATTCATTTTACTAATTGCTCCAAGCAGACCAGTATGCGCTCTAATATGCTGAATATAAAAGGGTTGCCAGCCCTTCCAAATAATTTCTTGTAGCTGGTTCACATAATTTGAATGGGACTATTTACCTTTATTTTTCCAGACTCTTCTAAATCCTTAACCAGATTAACCACGTAATTAGAATCTGAGATCAAATTGAAGGCCTCAGGGACCCTTTTAAACACTTCAAGAACTATTTGGAATTCCACTATTTGAGGTGATTCTGGTATAAATTGACAAACAACTGGGAGATCTCCCCAATTACATAAACACCACACCCAGTCTTGTAATGTATCTAATCTAATCGTTATTTTTGTGGCACAACACAATCTCTATTTATCTTAGCTCCTAAATTGTTGATAATACTACCCTGCTGGACCTTTTTTGGGACTATGTATAATCCCTTCCTCTCCAAGGTCTTTACCAAATCTCCATATGCTAAGTGTAGCAATTTCAACTCATTACTAGTTAACAGAATGTCCATGGGGCCTTGAATGATCTTAGTAAGATTGCCACTCACTTCTCCTTTATTGGGCAATGATTTCCAGGCTCGAGTTGCTATGAAATTGATCTGCTTGAAGAACTGTAATGGGTATCCTGTTTGCTGCTGAACAAACCAACCCTGCCCCAGCAAAATGTCCACATCCCAGGCTGTGTTTTCTGTTGCTCGATTAATGGCAGCCTGCTCATTGGCAAACTCTATTAAGAAGGCTTTCCAGTCTAAATATTGCCCTGGGGTTAAGCAAGCTCGTACTAAACTCATCCAATCACTTGGAGTCATGCAATGGCGAATGAGAGCTTCCACCTGCGCCGTGGTAAAGGCTGCAGTCATCCCGTAAGTACTCACAGACTCAGAAAGGGCTTTGATCATTTGAAAATCGAGGGACTCATGATAGCTCTGTCCTGCTTTGTTCTGGAAAACAGGATAACATAACTCATGTCTCACTTCCTTCCACACCTCCAGGCAAAAGGATTGCCGCCCCCCCCAACCTCCGGGAGAGGAAATTATGTTATATGGAGGAAGGGGCGGTCCTGGAGCAGTAGGCTCCACCTCTCAGGACCCTGAACACTTCCGCAAAGATGCCCTCTCCATTTTTTCTGCTAGCATTTCTAGTTCCTCTTCCGAATCTGAATTACTCTCTTAAGAACTGTCCTTTTCCGATATCATTGAGCGTTCCTCCTTCAGCTGTTCTAACACCTCCTGCCCCTTTTCTAGCTTCAGGCCTTTAGAGTGCAACAGCTCTTGAAGAGCGAGATAAATGGGTTGTGATGTCAAATTCCCCATACTTTCACTTTTTGTTACTTCTACTTTGTCCGTTCCCGGAACTTTATTGCTCCTTACTGGAGACCTTATTGCCTCTTTACTGAGGTCCTTATCTCTCCTTTCCAGAGACCTTAACTTGGTACCAACTTACCTGGGACTTAGCAGTCGACTGCCCTGACTGCAAGAAGTTCTGAGCCGTTCATCAGAGGAGGTTCCCCGTACGGGCCACCACTCATTAGCATCTATCTTGACCAGCAAGAGAAACACGACCACAACTCTTCTTCAAGCAGTTTACTCAGGAACCTTATACATCAGCTTCTCTTCAGCTTCTACATCAGCTTCCGAAAGCCCTTAAGTAGAAGCTCCTTGCCCAATCATGCCATCTGGCAATCCCGGATAGGCCACAGAAGGAGGAAGTGCACCAGATGCCTCAAGAACTTCCAAATAAGGCTTGTTTACAGCTAACCTCGGACTAACTGGCATCCAGCCAGGCGCCATCTTAGGGCTGTGGCTCTCCACATTTTCCCACCAGGTCTGCCACTTAAGCTCCAAAATGAATAGACAGAAACACTATATTGACTATTAAACTAATGGCCAAAGGCTAGGACTTCTTACTGGCTACCTCTTTCTTAATTTTCAACCCATACCTACTAATCTCTGTATTTTTCTACATGGCCTTATCTTACCAGAGAATGCTTGACACAGATTATCTTCTTGGTCTCTACATGGCATCACTTTGCAGACTCTCTCTGCCTACATTTCCAAGAATTCTCCTCATCTCTTATTCCCATCTATAGTCCTGCCTCTATTTGTCAAACAATGTTTTATCCATCAACCAATAAGAAGGACATATATACAAGAAGGACAACCCCTACCACATTCCAGATGTGCAACACACATAAATAAATAAATGTAATCTACCTTATAAACAATCTGAAAACAACAAAAAAGATCACATAATCATCTTTAATTACATTCAGAAAAATCCATTGACAAAAATGCATTAATCCATCATGAAAAAAATCCTGTACAGATAAAAGAGACATAAGTCAATAAAATAAAGGAAGTTTACAGAAAGCCTTTTGCCATCATTAGAGCAATCCCACTAACTCAGGGACAAGAATAATTTGTCAACTCTCTACATACCTATACTATATTAACTTTAAGTCTTGGCAGGAACAACAAGACAAGAGAAGGATATCAAGGGGATATAAATTGTAAAAGAAGTATAAGTATCATTATTTGCAGATGATATGACATTATACATAAGTGACAGTTTCAACAATGCAGGAGTTTTGTGATTAAGTCACAAAACTCAACACCCTTTATCTATATATCTATATATCTATATCTATCTATCTATCTATCTATATATATATATATATATATATATCTATCTATCTATCTATATATATATATATATATATATATATCTGTATTTATAGATAGATAGATATAGATAACTGGACTGAAAAATTAATCAACACTCTTCACAATAGCCAAAAGAAATGGATATCTTGAGGTAATTCTGACCAACCAAGTGAAAGATGTGCATGCAAAAACTTTAAGAATTTGAAAAAATTGAGAAAGATAATAGAAAATGGAAAGATCTCTTATTCTTGTGGATTGTTACAATTAATATAGTATAAATGGACATTGTACCAAAAACAATCATCAAAATTACACCACAATTCTTCAAATATCTTGAAAGTATAAATACACTCACACACACACACAAAAAAAAAACCCACAAAACACAAGAAGCAAGGAACAACAAAAATAAAGGAAGCAGCCGAGCATTGGTGGCACACACCTTTAATCCCAGCACTCGGGAGGCAGAGGCAGGTGGATCTCTGTGAGTGTGAGAGCAGCCTGGTCTACAAGAGCTAGTTCCATGACAGTTTCCAAAGCCACAGAGAAACCCTATCTCGAAGAAACCAAAAAAAAAAAAAAAAAAAAAAAAAAAAAAAAAAAAACCCAAAAAAGCAAATCAGGATAGCCCAAACAAACCTGCTATCAAAGAACTTCTATAGTTATTAACATCTACAATTTCAAGTTGTACTACAGGACTAGTGTAATAAAACAGCATGTTACCGATACAAAAAAAGACACATTGTTCAAAAACACACACAATATAATCAAATTAAAGACATGAACATAAATCTACACAACCTTAGACTCCTGAATTTTGAGGAATCCAGAAATTTATACTGGGAAAAAGACAGAAATTTCAATACATGGTGCAGGTCAAACTTCATGGATGCATGAAGACAAATGCAGATAAAGTCTTATTTACCACCTGTATACAATGCAAATGGGATGGATCAAATCTCCCAAAAGAAGAAAATCTCCACTGGATCTGATAAGAGAAATAATGGAGAAGAGCCTTGAACTCAATGAGATAGAAAAAAGCTCCATGTACAGAAGAATACCATTAGCACAGGCACTGATCAACATTTAATATATTACCTCTCATGAAACTGAAAAGGTTATGTAAAATGAAGGACACCATAAGTAGCACAAAATATGAGTGCAGATAATGGAAAAACATTTTAACCAACTACACATCCAAGAGAGGGATAATATCCAAAATATATAAAGAACTAGAAAGAATGGATGTCATTAAAGAAACAAAGTTATTAAAATTGGGGTACTGATCTAAGCAGACAATTCTCAAAAGAGAATAACAAATGACTGAGAAGCACTTAAATAAATACCTTTAGTCATCAGGAATGCAAACAAAACTACTGTGAGATTTCATCTCCCACCAGTCAAAATTTCCATGATCAATAAAACAAATGGCAGTTGATACTGGCAAGAATGTGGAATAAGTGGAACATTGGGGATGTATCCATTGGGGATGGAGTGAAAACGTACCTGGAATTATGGAAATAAGTGTGGTGGTTCTGCAGAATAATGGAAACTAATCTCCCTCATGACCCATCTATTCCACTCTTGAGTATATTCCCAAAGAGTGATTTCTCCAACACCAGAAACACTTGTTCAGTCATGATCATTGTTGCTCTAATCAAAATATTTAGGAATTGAAAAAAGACTGGCTATCCATAAATTGATGAATGGATAAATATGGTCCACATGCACAATAGAATATTATTCAGCTATGAAAAAACATCAAAACAATGAAATTCCCAGGTAAAAAGACTGAGCATGAAAAATATCATCCTGAATAAACTAACTCAGACCCATAAAAGCATATTATATGTTCTCTTATGTGTGGATTAGGTATTAAGTAAAAGCAAGCAAGCTACATTCCATAAATCCATGAAGTTGGGTGTATAGTAAGAGTCTAGGGGTGATGGACTGGTCTCCCCTAGAGAAGGGAAATAGAATAGATAGTTATGTATAATGGGGTTACTCAATGAGAGGATTCAATAAGGACATGGATAGAAGATTGGGGATGGGAAGATATATGGGTGGTACAGCTGAAATTAAAAAGTATTTGAGGGTTTCTATGGGAATCTAAAAGCAGATGCTTCCTAAATTATATATGCATGTGGTTGATCTAAATTAAATCACTAAATGAGGGGGCAGAGAAAGCCTCAATGTGACATCTCTCATCACCAAATGGAGCTTTAATACAAGGAATGGTTTACATCTAATTGAGTTTCTAGCCAAGAAGACAAATAGTACTGCCCACACCACCCAGGTTATTGTGAAGGTCACGTATTCCTTTCCATAAACTGAGAGCAAGGTCCTTTTGCTGAAAATAACTCACAACTCATTGAATGTTGGAGAAATCAAGCTGGTACCTACTTAGAGCTTTACCCGCCTAGTGCCTATTGTTTTGGGTACTGGAAGGTATTCTGCACACTACCAAAGTAGAAACATAAACAGCAAAACAGCTACAAACCTTTAAATAGGTATCCTGGCAGCAGGATACAAGTGCATTTTTGGCACAACTTGTGGTGGTACCCAGTGTTATCTGATTTGTTTTATGGCACACTCCATGAGATAGAATATATGACCAATACTGCTTGGGTAAACCACAAACTGAGACTGAAGAGCCCAAGGACCTAAGGCAAAATACAATAGTACTGTGCTCCAATGACTCTACTTGGACACCATTTGGGGGATGGGTGAGAGGATGCAGCACCAACGAGGAAGGCACTGGGTATCAAGTGAGTAGCTGAGCATGCTGCAGACTTGTTTATTAAGGAAGTTAGGCCGGCTTTTATACCCCATCCCAAGGTCCCACTGGTTCAGGCAGCTGACACTGCTGCAATGGCCTTCCCTCATTGGTGTCTCCAGTCAGGTGTCTCTTATTAACTAGTTTCTGGGCATAATGGCAGACTTGGCTCAGAGAGGAAGTACCTGCCATGCCTGTGAGCTCCTTTGGGCAGAGATACTGGGGCTTGGTTGATTTGGCCGTGTTACTAGGGCTTGCATAGTTTCTCCTACAGTACTATTGTGTAAAAGGCAAATAGGAATAAAATGATTTCTAGTGACTTTCTGCCATACCCATAGGTCAGTGCCTTGTTTAGACATCATCATAAGAGCTTCCACTTTACATTTGATAGAAAAATAAAATCCAGAGGCTAAAAGAAGACAAAAATACATAGAGTAAGAGACTTCAAAATACTTAGCTCTAAACAAGATGTCTCAATTAAATCCCTCCCCACAGGGCTCAGAGAAACTTATTAAAGAGGAGGCCGGAAGAGTCTGAAGAGATCGATGGATAGTGAATCCCAAAGAAGCAAGTTGTATAAACATAACAGGACTGAACACAATTTGCACCAAAAGTAATATGCAACAGACTGTACCAAATATATTCCTAGAGGAAGAAGTCTACACCAAATATGTTCTTAGAGCCGAAAGGAGAAATAGACATGTGCTCCTATTACTAACACAAAAACTCTCTCAAGAAGAAAACCACTTGCACATGAAAAAGGTAGTTTTCTCCAAGGCAGTCTCATTGGGGGAAACAAACTATTAGTAAGCTAAGAGCCAAGAAACAGAAGGCCAATAGAAAACTAAGACAATTTTATCTTGTAAGGTTCCTTGTCTCACAATATTGTGTCAGAGCTTTTTAATATTTAATAGTTACACTTTTACTTTTAGGATCTATTGATTTATGTTTCATTTGATTTCTTTAACACTACAGGCTTGCGTATATATTACAGCTTCCAGTTTTGTGTTTTTATGTGATGCCTGAGTGTGTGATCAATCATGCCTCTGTATCTATCCATGTTTCTTGTGCTGTCTCCTGGATTTTTGTTCTTCTGTATTTTTTTGTCCTATTTCAATTTGGTTTTTATCTTATTATATTTCATTCATTTTTTTCATTATCATCCCATCCCTGATTGCTTTTTAAAGAGAGACAGAAGGGGTCTGTAAAGAGAGACAGAGGGGAGATGGGGATGAACTTGACA